GTAAGGGAGATTATCTTTGAGGGACCAGAACAACACACGTCTGAACTCCAGTCACCTACCAGGATCTCGTATGCCGTCTTCTGCTTGAAAAAAAAAAAAAAAAAAAAGAATACATGCCCGAGCCAGAGATTTAGCTCAGTGGCACCATGCCTGCCTCACAAGTGCAAGGTCCTGAGTTCAATCCCCAGTACCAAAAACAAAAAACTAACCAAAGAATACATGTCTGAAAGTTTTGTCTTAGGTCATTGAGAGGAGAGGACATATATACAAGTATTCTCATATTTTTCATTTACTTCCTGTAAGGGAGATTATCTTTGAGGGACCAGAACAACTTAGTTAAGGATAGATATAGCCTCATAGAGGTTTTAATTATGGCTGGCCTAGAAACTCCACCCTCAGCACCCTGTGGTCAAGACTTAGATTAAAGTTGTCTTGGAAACCATGTTTTCCTGTTCTAAAGGGTGAGTAGTAAACTCAGGCTCAGTGGTACTGAATGCCTTAAAGGGTGAGATATCTGGTTTTTCTGTGGCTCACATTTACATTTGAACACAAGGAAGGATTACTTCTTAATGGAAAGAAAGTCTAAACATAATACAATTTTGACCATTTTTTTCTCTTACAGTATAATTCTAATTGTGAGATAGCATCATACTCAGTACTCCCCTCTGTATTACATTTTGGCTCTAGGGGGTAGGCAGGCCATGCACAGGTGTAAAAAAAAAAAACTAAATTACTCTTTCTCAATATGTGAGGTTGGAACATTTTCCATTGTTTAAGAATACACTCCAAAGGAGTGAGAGGTTTAGATAAGGAGTTTCCTGTCTGAAACAAGAGAAACAGACTGGTGTCCCTTGTGAGTCTCTACTTGATTCATAAATCCTCGGCCGGGGATTTAGCTTAGTGGTTTCAATGCCTGCTGCGCAAGTGCAAGGACCCGAGTTTGATCCCGGTACCAAAAAAAAAAAAAAAAAATCCTCGAGGCATACCAGAGGTGAATCGCTGAAGAGCAGGTGGCTGCCATCTGAAGGAAAGCTAGCCAGCACAGACTAGCCACGTTTTACCAAATCAGTGGCCCTATCTTCTCCAGGAAACTCATGTTTGTACCCTCTAGGTATTTCCAAAGCACAAGTTACACTCAATGTTTAAAAAAGGAAGCATTGGGGCCAGGAATATAGCCCAGTGGTACCATGCCTGCCTTATAAGTGCAAGGTCCAGAGTTCAATCCCCAGTACCAAAAAAAAGGGGGAAGCATTGCTAGCAAAACCAATAATAAACCACTGCTTTCTAGCTCTTTGTTTTGTTTTTTGGTACTGGGGATTGAACTCAGGACCTTGTACTTGGGAAGCAGGTGCCAGCACCACTGAGCTAAATCCCTGGCCCTTCTAGTTCTTTGAAAGAGAGGAAAATAGGTCAATGGGCAATTACAACACTTTTTGCCTGCAAAAGATATCACCTCTAGAGACAGGTAGGTCAGAGATTCTGCTCTGGGTCCTAGGGTGGAGAAATCTCTGAGACATTTTTGTTGTCTGTCTAGTCACTTAGGCAACCTTCATTAGCAGCAAGACAAGGCTACTCCTTTAAGGTCCATTTAAAATTTACTAAGTATTTGAAACTCACAAGCTAAACTTGTGTTTATCATGTAGCAGCCACAATTTACATGTTAGCAAAGGCACTTTTACCAGTTTCTTACATGCACATGAAGAGAAAACTGACTAAATTCTCCTTTTATTCTAGTTAGCATATAAAAACACCCATTTGTGTTTTTATATGTCACCAGGTGATTGCTATTTTTCTCCTGTAAGACAAAACAGTTGTTGCAAATTGCCTTAGCCTGACTTCCTGGAAGGAGAGACGGTCTGACTACAGGGATTTTAAAGTCAACTCCCAACAAGTTGGAGAAAAGTGTAAGGGGAGTTTCCCACTCACTAGCAGAGAGAAACAGTCCAAATAAAATTGAAGCCATTTAAAACTCTAAAAAAAATTACCACACAGCACTCTACAAATCCACAGAGTTCCAAAGTCTACAACCTATCAGCAAAGGTAGTTTTCTCCCCTACATACATAAATGATGAAAACCAGACCTAGGAGGAGAGAGAGAGAAGGTTGGGATTATTTCTTAAACTTATTAGAGATTTTTTTCTCCACACTCCTTTTTTTTTTTTTGGTACCAGGGATCAAATTCAGGACCTTGCACTTTCCAGGCAGGTGCCAGAACCACTGAGCTAAATCCCAGCCCTAGAGACTTTTTTTTCTTTTTCTAATTTTATATGCCTCTATAAGGAAATTGTAAAGTGGCAGGGAAAGATCAGAAATGAGACCAGGAAACGGAAGTCTTTCTTTTCTTCCCTTGTTGACAGTGAATTACTGAGACAACTTGCTCACAAGAGTCGTTAATCTCAGCCTGGAAGGATGAGAATGGAGAATCTCAAGAGCTAAGACTGCCTCCTCACCAGCAGATGATCAGACCAGAAAGGAAACAAGTAGAACAGATCCAATATTTTCTCTAGAGTATAAAGAAGGATTGAACCAGAACATCTCAGTGAAACCTGTCCCCCAAGTCTTAAGAATGGCTATTGAGGGGCCAGGGATTTAGCTCAGCGGTTTCGTCGCCTGCTGTGCAAGTGCAAGGACTGAGTTCAAACCATGGTACCAAAAAAAAAAAAAAAGAATGGCTATTGACCTTTTGTCTTTTAATTGATGAATGGGGTCCTATTGGTTATTACTAGGCATGCATTTTTTTTTCTTTTTTTTTCTTTTGGTTCTGAGGATTGAACTCAGGACCTTGCATTTGCAAGGCAGTCACAGTGCCACTGAGCTAAATCCCTGGCCCAATATTTCTTAAATATAAACTAGATTTCATAAAAGACCCATTCTACAGCATTTTAAAGCAACTAAATCTAAATGAACATATACAAAACAAGAATAAAATGTAATTTTAACAAAGGACATCATAAGAGACAAAAACAATTTGTAAAAATTTTAAAATGTACAACTTAACATTAACACACTTTTGAAACAAAAGTGGAAACAAAGGCCAGAATTTATTAAACAAAAAACCGGAATCTATGAAACAAATGGCCAGAGTCTATGAAACAAAAAGAGTCTACAAAACAAGAACCAGAATTCATGAAATAAAAAGTTAGCAAACAGACCAGAAAGTTAGAACCTATGTAACAAAAGCAAACTCTCACCTCCATCCAATGATCTTGGTGGAACTTCCAAAATGATATAGGGCAAGTAATCCAAATAAGCAAAAACAATCCAAACAAGGGAAATATAACTCCCAATCTGCTAGATATCAGAAATGTAAATTTGTGTTCTCTAAAACTGAATAACAAACTCTAGGAACAACAGAGGCTAAGAGGAAAAATTTACTGAGAGAAAGATAGCTTCGGTCTAAGAGAGACAGAAGGGGGACACCTCACTTTACAAAGGCATTTTATTGAGTAAAGTCATGAGGTGAGGTGGGTTCAAGGTGAGACCAAACTATAAGACCCAATGGAAAATTACAAGGTAGGCATGAGGTGAGACAAAACCATGATCAACCAATAAAATTACAAGTACAGTTAGCCAAGTAATATTGATTAAATGGAGATCAAATGGGAAAACAAGTCACATACAAGGAATTTCCACAAAGCAAACGGGGTAGGGACACTGACTTCTATTTAGAATATCAATCACTGTTATTTATCCTCAGGGGAAGTAGTTGGGTGCAGTACCTTTTCTTTTTTTATAATGTTAACCAGTGAATATGCCTCAATTGTTTTTCTATGCTGAGAGTCCAGTTTTGTCTAACTGCCTTATAATAATTTCTAATTTAGCTATCTGCGATAAGCCTGAGGCGTCAGATCCAAGCACTGCCTCTCAGGACCCAGATGTAAAGTTCTCTCCAGTTTCCTTGAGATTCGAACACAAAAGAAAGGCAACCCTGAGGAACCAGGCTATCATAGTTTTCTACGATTAGCCCATGCTGTTTCCTAGATGTAGTACGAACTTTTATCTTTTCTCTTATCCTCTTTTTCTCTTTACTCAGCCCAAGCTCGCTCTGCAGAGCCAGTTTTTTTCTTTGTTTGTTTTGATACCGAGGATCAACTGGGGTCCTTGCACTGGCAAGGCAGGCGTCGGAACCACTGAGCTAAATCCCCAGCCAAAGCCAGTTTTAATTCCTCCTCTTCACTTTTAATTTCTTTTTTTTTTTGTACTGGGGAATCTAACTTGGGACCTTGTGCTTTCGAGGAAGGCACCAGAACCACTGAGCTAAATCCCCGGCCCCTTAATTTCTTGAATAAACTTTGCCACTGCTTTTTTGCTCATTTCATTCAATTCTTTGTTCAAGGTGAGAAGAACTTGGAATCCAACTCCAGAAGGAGAGGTGAGCAACCCCCAACCTGGTAATGTTTAGTTTATGAGCCACTTTTTAGAAGCAAGCTACCCAATACATCCCTAATTGATGCATCATGAAAATTATTTTTCTGCTACTGGAGTCAGTGAACCTGCAAATGTATTCTACAAAAGGGTGAGTCAGCTTCCCTATTTCAGCTTCCAGCACAGTGACAACAGCACCCAGTGAAGATGATACCAGGGCTCCTTGGGAATGCAACTGCTTGGCCAGACTCAGTTAAAACCAAGCAAAGGAGTTGGGCCTAGTGGCACTCACCTGTAACCTCAGCACTCAGGAAGCTAAGACAGGAAGATGGCCACAAGTTTGAGGCCAGTCTGAGCTATGTAGTAAGTTCAAGTCCAGCCCAAACTACATAGCAAGACCCTGTGTCAAAAAACAAAATGAAGGAAAACAAAAAGGAGTCCCCTGCCCTGTGGTGTCAGGGCTCACAGTGTGGCCATCCACCCTGCCACATCAGAGAGGCTATTCTGAGACAGGGTAGAAGAAATGAAAACTAGGCAGAAAGGAGACAAGGAAAATCATAATTTTACAAATGAAAACTACAGATTTGGGACACAAGCCACTTTATTTTTTTTTCTTTCTGTTCTCCCAGGACCCAATAACCCTGGGCAATGCCCTTTCATCCACAAATGGGTTCTGCCATTCCCTTTTTATTTGTAAATAGCCCTCTGGCACCTGTGAATAGATTACTCTTCAGCTGTAAATTAGGATTTCCCATATGAATGGACTATTATCTTTCTGTGGCAGCCATCCCACCAGACAGGTACCAAGATTACAGATCATCAGATTTCACGGATTTCCATCTCTAAAAGTGTAAAAATTTCCAGTTTGCAACTGTAGTGTAGCTCATTTCTCTGTGCACCCGCACTTCATTCTCGAGTATGTCCTAAATCTGTCTATTAACCCTTCCCATGCCTCTTGCTGGTTTGTCCTTTTTCTGTGACAGGACTCAGCAAACCTGCAAACTGACTCTAGGAAAGGGTGGGTTAGGTCAGCTTCTGGGACCTCTCAGACCCAGCCTACTTTGACACTACTGACACAAGTCTGGTCTCTTGCAGTTAACGAGAGCCTGTTGCAGGAGTGGGAGACTTTTCTTTTCGGTACCGGGAATCAAACTCAGGACCTTGTGCTTTCAAGGCAGGCGGCAGAACCACTGAGCTAAATCCTGGTCCCCATGGGAGGCTTTTCTAACTTCTGATGTGACTGGCTGTGCCTGCAACAACAGGAAGGGGAATGTTATACTGAGGTTGATATAGGGGAGATAGATGTAACTCCCAAACCTGCTAGATTTCCAAAACACAAGTTCATGTTCTCTAAACTTAAAGAATGAATTCTAGGAACAATGGAGGTTAAGAGTAGGAAAAAATTATTGAGAGAAAGATAGCTTCTGTCTAAGAGAAACAGAAGGGGGACCAGAAAGTGGGTTGCCTACCCATCCTGCTTCTCAAAGGTGTTTTATGGGACAAAGCCACAAGGTGTGGCAAGTACAAAGTGGGACAAAACTAGTCAGCTAGAAGAGCCAGGGATTTAGCTCACTGGCGCTGTGATCTCCAGTACCAAGGGGGAAAAAAAAAAAAAAGAAAAGCTAGTAAGATTACAAATACAGCCACTTAGGTAGTATTGGTCCAGTGGGAAATCACAAGTTGGACATGAGGTGGGACAAAACTATGACCAAGCAATAAGATTACAACAAATACAGTCGCTTAGGTAATATTGATTAAATGGGGACCCAGTAGGGAAGCAAGTCACATAGCAAGCGCACAAGGAATGAACAAAGATTTTCAGTAAGGGGTGGGTCAGGGATGTTTCCTAGAAGGGATAGGTTAATGTCTCAGTCCCTCACCAAGATGATTGATTCCTATTTAGAACATCAATCACTGCTATTCATCCTTAGGGGAAGCAGGCAGGTGTGATAGTTTCTCTCTCTCTCTCTCTCTTTGTAGTATAGGGGGTCAAACTCAGGACCTTGCACTTGCCAGGCAGGCATGACTCTACTGAGCTACATCCTTGGCCCCCTCTTCTTTTACATTGCTGGCCTTCAGTGAACGTGTCTTTTTTTTTTTACCGGGGACCGAACTTGGGTCCTTGCGCTTGCACAGCAGGCGGAGAAACCACTAAGCTAAATCCCTGGCCCAAGTAAATGTGTCTTGATTGTCCTCCATGTTGGCTCCTCCACTGTTCTCCATGTTGGGTCCTTGAGGGCTAGCCCAGTCTAACTGCCTATAAGATATCTAATTATCTTACCTATCTACAATAAGGTGACTATGAAAGAATAAAATGCAAGTTCATCTCTGGAAAGAGAGAGAAAGGAAGGGAGGAAAAGCAAAGGAGAAGGAAAGCAAGATTAAGTCAGAATCTTGGCCCACAGAACTGCAGCCTCACTCACACTCTTAGGAGATGCAAGCCTCCACCTCACAGTAGGCCTTCTTGGGGCTTTAGAAGAAAATGAAGTCAAGGTCATTCAGGGTGAGATAAGTGATAGGCATGGTGTAGACAGGCTGGGAAGAGGGGCACAGTGAACCCCAGGGTCTATACAGCCCTGCCTCTCAGGACCTCCTATGACTTTCTCTGGGTTCCCACCAGGTATGGCTAACATTAAGGACACAGATTCTGTGAAGAGCTCCTACCCTGGCTTTCCTATATGGTATTGCAGATAGCTAAGTTAGAAATTATTATAAGGCAGTTAGACAAAGCTGGGCCCTCAACATAAAAAAAAACAATTGAGGCACATTCACTGGTTAGCATTATAAAGAGAGAAGAGGTACTACACTTACCTACTTCCCTTAGAGATGAATAGTAGTGATTGATATTCTAAATAGACATCAATCTTCCTAGCCCATTTCCCCTCTGGTAATTCCTTGTGCTTGACTTGTTTTCCCATTTGATCCCTATTTAATCAATATTACTTGGGTGACTGTATTTATTTTGGGGGGTTTTTTTGGTATGGGCGATTGAACTTGAGACCTTGCACCTCACAGGCGGCAGCACCACTGACAGGCGGCAGCACCACTGAGCTAAATCCCCAGCGCCAAGGGTGACTGTATTTGTAAGTAATCCTATTGGTTGATTATGGTTTTGTCCCACCTCATGCACAGCTTGTGAATTTCTATTGGATCTTATTAGTTGGCTCACTTTTCTACCTGCCTCACCTCATGGCTTTGCTCCATAAAAACCTCCTGGAAAACAGGGCCCTGGGCAACCCACTTTCTGGTGCCCCTTCTGTCTCTCTTAGACAGAAGCTGTCTTTCTCTCAATAAATTTTCCCTAGTCTTAATCTCCATTGTTCCTAGCACTCATTCTTCGATTTTAGAAAACACAAACTTGCATTTCAGATATCTAGTAGATTGGGAGTTATAATATTTCCCTTGTTTGGATTATTTTCTTTTTTTGCTTATTTGGATTAGTTGCCATATGTCATTTTTTGATTACTTGGTGCTCTGTATCAATGGTAGCCTACCCTGTGTCCTCAAGGGTGTACTTGTATTTTTGTTTTTATTTTTCTCCTTTTATTTGGTGCAAGTTCACCCTGCAGAGCTGGTTTCTCTCTTACCCTTCACTTTTACTTTTTCAAATATTTTGTCACCTTTCTTGCTTGTCTTCTTCAATTCTTTGTTCAAGATGAGAACTTGGAACCAAGACTCAAGCACCCCAAAACCTGGTAATATGTATTTGGTGAGCTATTTCTAGTAGGAGCCACTTGATAACAAGGGGGTTGAGGGAAATCTCACAGAGTTTGGATGTTCAGGTCAGGACCCTGCCCGTGGTCCCACAGTGGAGGCAGTGAGAGATGCAGCCACAGCCACAGAAGAACTCGCAGCAGCCTAGGGAAAGAGATGGACGTAAAGGCAGAGATGAAGAGGAAAGAGGAAAGGAGAAGGGTAAGGGCAAGGA